AGTAACGTACTACAAATGAGGAAATATCAGAACAGAAACATAAGATGGTTTTCAGCAATAACTGTCTTCACGCCATAACTAGACCAAGAACTTAAAAGTAGACCTCGTAAGTACAAGAAACTAGTTACAATATGAACGACCAAATAAAGGCATATTATAAACTAGGCGTATCACACCGCGGTCAAGGCGAGCTTCTGTTTGCAAGGTGCAAGGTGCAATGGGTATCATGTGACCGATACACTGTATATCAATACCAGACACTACCTGTCATACACTGCCCATCATATAACACCTTACCTGCATCATTTTGGCAAACTTTGGCAAGTACTCATGCTCATGAACGGGTGCTGCCAATGAACTCTGAACTACTTAATTTCGTCTATTTTCTTTCATTCTGAATACTGTATATTGATTTATTCATGAGTATGTATGATTCAGCAAACGGCATAATTAACACTAATCGAAAATATCTGTCTTGTTATTTCTGATATTGTAATGGAAAATGACTTCATAGTCTAATGAAGTCACTTTCCAATAAGACTTCTCTGTGTGAAATAAATCAGGAAGAAAAACAGCAGACCTCGCTGAGTTTCTCACCGGTTATTCTCAGTACAAGGTCTCCCATCGTAGTTTTGCGAACAGTTGGCGTAGTTTTCGACTTTCTCAAGTGCTATGTATAAGCATAGACTGAATAAAAGATTTCGATTTGACATAAAAGGAATCTATTGATCTGATCTTTCCCCCGCACGCAGAGGTGGGACCCTAATAGAGTCCTAAAGTGGGATGAATTCCAGAATTCTCATTGTTGGATCCCGGATTCTCCCCTCCCACTGAGGTTCTTTAGAAAAGGAATCTACTGTGTTATCCGAACTTGGAAGGTTCTTATAAAGGTTCATCATCATCAGCCTATTTCTCTGACTGCTGGAGTACAGGCCCTAGCCATGATTCTAGCCATAAGATATGACATCATGTCAATGTTACGGCGATATAGTTACATTATACTACTTTGACATGAACTTTAGTAACGACGAAAGAACAATAAAGAAGGATGATTATGGATTTGATAGGCAATTTCGTAATTTATCCTAAATTTACCCACCTAAAAACAACTCACAGTAGTTACATAAAACGAAATATCGTTAAACGCCTAAGATGTCCTACTTATCCTAAGGCTCAAGGCTAGATCAATCAAGGCTAGTAAGTAAGGCAGTCGCACCCCAGATCTTATAGAATTAAGGTTACAATTACATAGATAGAGGAGACCACGCGGGTCCTGTGCGGATTGGTAGGTGTGTACCAATTGCAGAAATGTATGCCTTACAAGGTACGGAGGGGTTAGAGATAACCAAATTTCAGTAGTCCGTCTATTCAATATGGAATTTACAAAAGTTGTTTTAAACCTTAAAACATGACTAATCGCTAGTATGCAGGTTATCGAGTTTGATGCAAACTCTAAAAGAAGGTTTCATCGTTTTTTATGATTTTCATTATAAAATGGACCTAAAATATAAAACCACTGATATGTAAGAACCTATTATTGACTAATTTCTAATCAACTGAGTTGATATTTCTCAGGCAAGCAATTTTATTGTTGTCACGAAGCACAAAATTAGCAAAATAACACCTTAGGAACCTATTATTGTCCTTAATGCTACCCTTCAAAGGTTACCATTGCTAAATACTATAGACCATAATTGCCACCTTGCCTGTCAATAAGACAAACGATGAGTTTTTTTACAAAATAAAAAATATCTATATAGTTTTCAATCATTTTTCATTTAAACGTAATCTAGGCATTACGATCATTATAAATTTTGACTGCAAAGTGATTGAAGTTTAATCAATTTTCCATTTCTTATTAAAAAAATGTTGACTTTGCATTTTTAACGAGTAATTTTAGATAAGTCCTCGATTCAGTCCAGCGTTGTCAGTAGAGATATGATGCAATTAACTCACCGCTACTTTCAATAACAGTTTATTTGGGTTTTAATTTTTACTTCACGATTATTCTGATATTAGTGATCTGCTCTGTCCTCTGGACGTTATCACCTAACTTAAATTATACTTATAAATATAATTACATCACAGGTACATCCAGATTCTAGCGGCATTACAAACAAGATCATTATTATTATCTGACGAAATTAGTACACGGGACGAAAAGCTATAAATTCTAGATCGAACACGACACAAGCATTCGGAGATGCCAAACAGCCTTCATTAGAAATGGGAAATTACGTCGACCGATCCTCTTTGATCCGCATAAGCAGGTGCTCAAATATAAATTCCGTAGGTCTCATAAGATTGGATCAGAGGCTAGACGAGTTTGACTATAAATCACTCGTCCCGCCCCCCGGCGTTGTACCATTAGAGGTGATTAGAGTGCGCGAGCGCAGGATGGACCAAATTATATGGTCTGGAAGTGGTTCGGACCACAAAAATGTGGTAGGGTCGTTATACCCCAGGTGAAGACAATCCAACGAAACGCGCGATCAGGTGAAAATATCTTGAACCTAGATGTTCTTGGTTTCAGGTTAAACAAAATGTACTATATACATACAGTCTTATTAATAAACAAGGTTTAGCGTTGGAGTAAATTTACGCTAAGACTACACTTAGTATTAGACATAATTCATTTGGACTAACACTAAAATTGCAATTTTAGCGTAAACTCACTCTGACGCTAAACCTTGTTTATTAATAGCACTGATAGTGAATAGCGTTTTATTTATATTTGTTTAGTAGTAAATTCCAAAAATCGTTTTTACAGAGTAACCTCGGAGGTTGCCAAATTCCAGATGTAATCTTGCAATTTCGAGACTAGTGAGTCATTCTATCAGTTAGTGAATTGTACCTAGGTAACTCCCCTTTAAATAAATAGGATAGAAACACCAGACATTAGTCGCGATTTCTAAAAATAACATTAGCACATAAAAAAAAATTACAATCCTACCGAAAGTCTGTACCTAAATTGCGTATATTGACAAACAGAATTAATCATAAAAATAGGTATAAATAACTTGAATTGAGATACCTACTTTATACATATCATTTGAAGGTGTCCTATGGTTAAAATCCAAGTATCAAAGCGTAGAACAGACAGAGTAACGCGGTGGCGTAGTAGATAGGCGCCGCGGCCCGCGATTGTTGTTGTTAAATAACTTTCACAAGGGTCGGTCATGGAATGGGTGATCAAAAATTATTATCCCGAGCTACTCCATGCTTGGGAAAGCATATTCAGCCGTTAGTGCCAGCTGCATTTGCAGTCATTAATACACTCTAATCTGCATTGGGTCAGCGTGGAGGGTTGTGAATGACCCATCCTCCTTATCCATCCATAAGGCCTGAGCCCCTGCAGTGAGGACATAAAAGGGCTGATGATGATGATGATGATGATGATGATGATAGTTAAAAAATTACTCTAACAAATTCAGAACCAGACACTGATTAACTTGTGAAACATATTGAATTACTTTTAAATATCCAGAGACCCAAATACGAGTTATTAACTAACTCCTATAGTGAAAGTGAGTATAGAAGGTAGAAGAATGAAAGCATAAAACAACCAGAGATGGGCAAAATGTTACCCTAATTATAGATTGTATGTAAATATACCATAATAGTAGTTAGCACTTTTCTGCTTAATTTGGTATAAAAAAATAATGTTTAAAATGAAAAATTTGTAAAATTGACACCAATTGTATCACTTTGTGATGAATAAGTTGTTTGCTTATAATAAAATCAACAAAGCGAGAGAAATACTTTCACTGTGATGCATTGTCCTCATGAAACTGGACCAATTTTCTAGTCTAGAAAGTTCTAAATTAAAACAGAGCAGTAGAATAAAAATTTAATAATATTAGTGACAGTTCGATTCCCTTAAGACTAAATTTAGTTTTAATAATATTAAAATGCATTGTCAATTTTGTTAAAGCTATGATGATGATAGAAATTTATTACAAATGTCACCATAATATTGTTACAATAAAAATATAATAAAATATTAGGTTTTTTTTTAGTTAAGTTTATAGAGTCATATGAGAAAATTGGTATTTACATTTCTATGTTTTAAAGCTATTCATTTGTATCTGGAATCATGGTCACCATAACAACAGGGGCCTATCGGAAATCACCACCAGAGTTATATGTTTTAGCCTTGTAGCATTCATGCAGTCTAAAATATTCCTAGCATTTAAAGATCTGTCTCCCCTTTGCATTAGGTCTCCATTTTAACACTATAATATTTGATGTTGTATTCATATAATCAAATCTATGTTAACAAATTAACTCAGTATAAAATGCACATTGAAATATATAGATAAGTTAAATTTTGCAGATGTTCTTATTGGGATACTGGAAACATAATTAAAACATTATGTAATAAGTCCGATACAAAAAGTTGCATCATGATGTCAAACTCACAGACAGAGATGACATTAATTTTCCATTAATTAGGTCTTCTGTTTGCATCGCAAACAATTATTAATTATGACAACTATTCAAACTTATATCATTGTATGCTACAGTTTATTGCTCATTAGTTAAAATATTATTATTTCTGTTCTTTGTAAGAATTACACCAATTTGTTCTTAGGAAACTTTTAGGAAACTTATTTTTATCTACTTAATTTGATTCCATCCATAGGGAGGGTAACAACAACATTGGGAGCATTAGGCTGATTATGAACCTACTATGCATTCAGCATTATTTTATACAGAGGGAAGTATCAAAAAAATATTATTTAGTTTATGCAGAAAGATCCTTAAGAAAAACAATTGAATTAATGTTTAATTTGTTGATAATTGTATCATCACAAAACTCCTTGCTCCTTATAAACTGATACACTGTTAAATATTATTTCATTTGTTTTTAAGTAAACGATAATAAGTCTACCTACTTAATGGAAGCAAATGCTATTTCTGTATGGAAATTAAATTGGATATATTTGATTTGAGGTCGATGTTAATAAAGTAAAGTCAATATTAATTAGCTTACATACCTTTTATTGATGAAATACTCCCCTTTCAATTTATTTTCGTCTTGTAAGAATATTCCTTTTTTGCGAAATACGTTATCTAAATTTAACCCCTTTGAAATATTATTCCAATAAACCATAAAAATTTATAGTCCACACAACCGTTTCATTTATATTAAATTGATAATGTACAAATAAACACAGTGATCACCAAAAAACACATTACCACACTCAAACATAAACTCTACGTCAAAAGAAAAGCACCCCGTGTCGCAGTTGATACAGCTCTCACACAATATTTTGTAGATACTGCAGACAAGAAAGACAATAACATTTCGGTGTCTTTTTCGATGAAAGAAAGAGCTCGCTATATCATTTGGTACAATGACAGAAAGAATACGATGTACTTTTCCATAGATAGTTTTGACATCTACACCTTCTTCAAACTCTATGGTTTCCGAATGACAAATTGGCGGGCCGTCGCCATTTTTGTTAAGCACGATCCGTTTCATGATTGTCAAATATGTGCTTAGATTTTTCTGAAGTTTGATAAAAAAAATATTTTTACTATTAAGAGTTATCATATTATTTAAGAATCTTTACCTTAATACATAGTAGTATCAAATGAAAAAAATCTATGTATATAGACAACGATATAAAATAAGCGCGTTCCATTCATGAAGTTCCATCTGTTAGAGCGAAAGGTACTAAGTACTGTTGATTTATTTATAGCATACTTACATTAATGTGGAATTTAAAGACATACATATTTTATTACTTAAATGCACTTCTTTATGAAACGTGTTAACGTAAAACGAAACTGCACGTTTGACGGCTCGCAGTAATTATTTAACTTCCTGGCGCCAATTTTAAAACCAGCTAAACTAGTATACTATTGCATATACCACGCCATGCGAATTACTATTTTAAGTCTATTGTGAACTTGCAACTGAAGCAAAAACTTTCTTGGCTTGCAACATTTTAAGGCAAAAAGTACATTTCATTCGTTTCAATTATATATTTATATTTGGAAAAATCATCTCCAAAAATAATAACGAGAGTCAGTGGCGTAGCTAGGTAACCTAGGGCCCTGGGGCAAATAAAAAAATGGGGCCCACTGTTATCAAAACTGGTAAGGTTTATTAAAGTAAAATCATTAAATATACAAATAACATTAATAAGTCTGTCAACCCTCACAAATAATTTAGGAGAATTCCCTTTTTTTACTTTGGAATTTCTCACAACTGAGTTGCCATGATTAAACTCGAATTGTCACCTGTCATATTTATTTTGAAAATGGGAGAAATTTTCAAAAGTTGATTTCGCGTGAGATTTTCTGGTAAAGATTCGAGGGCCCCCTGAGCTTGAGGGCCCCGGGGCACTGCCCCGCCTAGCCCCTTGGTAGCTACGCCACTGACGAGAGTTTCGTAATATACATATATATATCGAATATACACTGATTTATATATGTCGTGGCCATATCGTAGATTTGCTCATTTCATAAAATGCACGACAATTTCATGAAATGGTCGCATTTCATGATGTGGGCAACTAAATTTGATCAGATCATTAAATCGTCAATGTTTCACGATTTTGTCATCCACATTTGGCCAGATCATATAAATTGGGTGTCCATAAAATATTTAATAAAAATCCAGATTATTTTAAGAACTTATTTATTGTCATTTAAGTCAGTTAGCTGACACAAACAAAATTAATCGAATTTTTGTAATAAAATTATAAAAAATTGTGTAACATAATTAAACAAATTTTTGGAACAAAATTAAATATATTTTTTTATTAGTCTTTAGTGACTAGTCAATTAGTTATACATCTATTTTTAGAAAATAAACAAATATTTAGAAATAAGTAGGTACTTTGGTTCAAAGTTACAAAAAGTAATATAAAATCACATGGAATGCACAATAAATGAATTAAAATTTATAAATTCAGTCTTACAACCTTTCAGTCATTTGTTGGCGCATGACAAGTTTTGGTGACACTTTGAAGTACAAAGAGTAGGGTCGTCGATGAATTTTTTCTTGAATATAAGATATTCCTCATCCGCAGTTTCCACAATGTCATATTTTGACAGCCAGTAATAGTCCTTGGACTTCTTTTGCGTAGTCACCCTACTCTCCTTAATTTGTTTCATAACCTAAAAATTAAAAAAAAAACTTTATTATGTCATAACTCACAAGCGCAGAATAATATCAATTAAAGCACAATACATTAGCTGGCATAAAGTATTTTAATAAAATAAGTAAATAATTATGTAATTTGAGAGTACAGAACTAACCTGTGAAATGCGATCCAAACTCCACGGCTTTTTTACATTTTGGTCAGTTTTTGCGTGACTTGCATAGTACTCGAGAACCTTTTTGTCGTAAACTTGTTTGTCACCACTTTCTTCATCATTTAACAACGAATTATTGTTTTTTTTTCCTTGCCTCTACCAGTAATTAATGTAACTACTTTACGATATTTCATGAAAAAGCCACGCATGTAGTTATGTAGCCCATATCGAGAAACGATTTCTTATCATTGATCTGCTCAAACCACATCATGATGTGGCCAATAGACATTAAAACATTTCATGAAATGCGACCATTTCATGAAATTATCGAGCATTTTATGAAATGAGCAAATCTACGATATGGCCACGACATATACATCCTGCTAATATATCAAAAAGGAGGAGTTTCTCAATTCCTCTGTATATATTATTAGTATGTGTATAGTTGGTGCATAACTATTCCTACATGTTATGTAGAATTTTCGTGTGAAACTCTTTTCATATGCGGAAGCAATTTTGTTAGATTTGTTTTTATATGGTAAATAAATCAATATAAGCGCAAAACTAAAACTAATATGCAACTGGCTATGAAAGAGGCTGTCGCTACTTTGGTTTCGGCTTTGCAACGGCATATAAAAAAATATTGTGACAAAAGCTAGGTATATATATGTCGTTATTAAATCAAGAGGAAGAAAACTAATTGCTTTTACTTTTTCCAGGTTGTTGGTGTTTTATATGATATGACTAAAAGATATATTTTTTTAGTTTAATAAATTTATTTAATAATCTACCTGATGGACAAAAAAATTGTTTCCTTTATTTTCCTAATTAATACAAAAATAATCTTTTAAATGTGCCGTGAAATGCTTTTTAAATGTGACGCAAAAGTGAATGTCTTGTCTGTAATTTTTAGCCATTTTGGTTCAGGCGGTACAACCAGTCCCTTGCAAGACAAAATTCTGGGATGCGACATTATTGCTTCGGGACGCTCCTTTAAAAAATATATTTGTTTTACTTAAGTTGGAATTACTTTAATATATAATTCGACTTTAAATCGTTTTTATCGTGCAGTAGTGAGTGATGCACAGTTGCAGTTTTGAATAAAATAATAAAATTTTAAAATTCATTTATTGATGAGTGTAGCTTAGACACTAACTCTTTATGTAAAGATGCGATAAATCTTAATGCGGATGTTTATCACGTTTTCTCTTTTTATTCGTAGCAGTTATAGTGCAACCTAGATACTTGAATTTTTCAAGTCCCTTATATGCTGTCCCTCTAACTTGTAGACTATTTCCCTTCACTTTTACATCTTTATACCGCTTCTTATCAAGGTACTGTAACTTATCTCGTCTGATTCTAAGACCAACCGTTTCTTCTTCTCTTTCCAGTACTTCCGCGAATCTAATCAGGTCTGATTCGCGTTGTCCAAGTAACGCTAAGTCGGCAGCATATCCTACCACCTTGTGATGACTATTCAACTCTACTCCGCCATCTACCACTAAGATGCGAATTTCAAATGTCGTGTTCGAGAACAAAGTTGAATAGTGTGGCCGACAGATCGCTTCCTTGCTTTAGACCAGTCATCACCTCAAACTCCTCTGCAACTGTGACCCTCATACTACTAACTTATATAGCTACCGGAGTCATGATTAACAGTTCTTTTTGGTATTTAGGAAGATGGGAGTATCTGATAGAGCTCTTTCCTATCCACACTATCATGTACTCCCATTTCTTTTCCATGACCTGTTTCAGGAGAATTGTTTGGTCCATCATACTTTTATTCTTTCGGAAACCACATTGATAATCTCCCAATACTTGTTCTGTGTAAAGCTCTAAGCGAGCAAGAAGTACATGTGACAGAACGTCATATACAGTGGGAAATAGAACAATCCGTCTGTATTTGGTGCACTTCTTTCTGCGTACTTTTTTATGTATAGAACTTATTATTCCTATGTTCCATTCCTCTGGTTGTCATTTCTCTTCCCAAATCCTACACATTAGCTTATACAGATGAGATTGCACCGCCTCGCCCCCATACTTCCATAATTCGCCTGATATGCCGATCAATTCTAGGACATTTATGATTTTTTTATCTAAATATAGCCCTCTGTACTTCTTCAAAAGTTAGTAATTTTTCACATGATACATTGATAACAATCAACTCGTTTGTCATATAGTTTTGAAAATATTCACACCACATTTTGTAACTCCGAACTCATTGAAAGGTTCCCTTCGTGATCTTCTAGCTTCTGAACATATGGTTGGTATCATTTTCTTGCTGTCCTTACTTGTTAGGAGGACTTCCTAGATTTATTGGCATTTATTAACGTGAACATTCTTTTCCATACTATCTATCACGCATTCCCCTGTCCACCATATTTCCTTTTTACTACGTGGCCTTCTACCCAGTACCTGGAGCCCCATTTTCTTCACTACCCGTTTAATATCCTCCCAACTATCGTCCATATTTTCACTAATAGCCAATGCATTAAATCTGTTTCTAAGAACAATTCTAGTATCACCGTCTCTTAATTTGTGTATATTAATAGCTAGTTCGACTGAGTTATCGTGCTCAAGTCTTGTTAACCTAATTTTTACTCTTAATTTGACTTCCACTAGATAATTATCACTATCATAACCGGCACCCCGATATTTTCTTACGTTTTGAATCATGTATTTATATCTGTTTCCTATAAGCACGTCATCTATGTGGTGCACAGTTATACCGTAAGGAGATTTCCCAGTAATCCAAACCAAAAAATTGTCTGCAGATATTGACAAAGCTGACAGAATATTAGCAAACATGAATTGGTAGGATACTAATCTACTATTACTATCATTTAGTTTTATAAACAAAGAAAAAGTATATATTTTGTTTTTATATGTTAAGTTTGAGGAGCTCGATGGAACAGAGGTTAGTAGGGGAGACCTAGGTGAGTTGTGACAGAGGTGAGTTGTGACAAGGCGGATTTCTCTCTACCTATTATAGTAAGCGAGATGGCATTAACGCTTGTTTGTCGTTCTCGACACCCGCTACACGACTCAGTACCTGTCGACGGTGCATATGGCACAGTTGCGTAAATATATCATATCTTAGTATGTGTGCATTGATGTGTTATTTTTTCTTAAGTTATGTAGTTATTTAAGTCTCAATACGTGGCACTGATTTTTTATATGCGCATTGTGTTTAGAAAATATGAATTTTTATTCGGACCAAGACGTCATTTTGAACACCTAGGCGAGTTGTGACAGCCTGTCACAACTCTCCTATCTTACTCCATATTTCTGCTGGGCTATTTTTACAATTTTTTTTTATTAACTTTAGATGTTTGTTGGTGTGTTAGTAGCTTCTTAAGGTGTATAATGGCATACCGCATACTTATTTTTTTTAGAATGCCAAATACCTATACAGAGACTGAAAATCTAAGAATGTTAAGAAGCGTGTCTTAAGCGAAGAAAAAAAGAGAAACCTAAAAAATCAAAGAAGACTAATAAGAAGAATAGAACAAGTAATGAAGAAGATGCAGACAATAATTGCTTTTATTTGGTTTGCCTTAAAGCCTATGCAGACAGCAGATCGAATGATCAGTGGGTCCAAAGCCTTGAATGCAAAGGCTAGGCACACGTAGATTGTACTGGGAACGAGCTGCATTACGTTTGGCATAATTGTGAATCTGATTAGATTAAGATTTTATACTAATTATAACAATAATATGATTAATCTCAAAGCGATACCATATTTAGTTAATGAAAATATTATAATTACTTGTTATGAGAATATTAATACTATGTTGTTTTAGTTGGTAGGTATTAAAAGCTGATTAATCAAGTCAAATCAAATCAATCTTTATTGTTGATCGCAGGTTATATATATTGGATGCAAGGACTGAATAGTTACACCGTGATCTGCCTAAAAGGCATACAATATTAGTAGGTTAGTAATTGTCAACTAATCTAATCAATAACATGTTATGTCAAAAATTCAATTAATTCATTAAGTATTTATACATTTACAATGTACTGTCAGCTAGATAGTCGTTTACACTATAATATGCTTTAGCTACTAATAATTTACAAAGTTTTCTTTTAAAAACATTACAATTATCCAGATTACGTATTGTTTTTGGAATTTTATCAAAAATTTTTGGAGCCATACATAAGATACTTCTGTTCAACAGAGCTGTCTTAGAGGGTATCGTACACAATTTGTCTTGATGACGCAATCTCGTCTTATTTTCAAATAGTTGTTGATTCTGTTTGACAAAAATACCAACTTCGAATATATAGATTGATGACAGGGTCATAATATTTAGTTTAATAAAATATGGCCTACAGGTATCCGTACTCTGTAAATGACATATGCTCCTAACACATTTTTTCTGGGCTCTAAAGGCAGTTACAGAATCAGTCGAATATCCCCAAAATATAATGCCGTATCGAACAGTTGAAACTACGTACGCGTGATAAGCTGTAAGGACCGTGCACTGATTCGCGATCCTACTAAGTTTATACAGTACACAAGAATACTGGGACAACTTTTTGCAAACATGTTCAGTGTGTGTTTTCCAAGTCAAATTTATTATTATAGTACTGATTAAAGTACTGATTTGATAAAAAAACGTGCTTGATTTATTTATGTCGTATGTAATGTTTATATCTTATAGCTTAAATATAATGATGTCACAACTTACCTCGGTACCTGTCACAACTTACCTCGGTGGTAGGAGAGTTGTGACAAGGGGAGTGGACTTGAATTTTGTTATTTTTTTCAGAAACTATTAAACTTTAATTAATTTTAGTGATGGTTTTGAAAACAGAAAGAATGGCGCTAAACTAATTCACACGAGTCATAACTGTGGAATGTTTCTTAAGCGAGATAGAGCCCCTTATGTAAAAATTGTCACAACTCTCCTAGGTCTCCCCTACGTTCCGTCTGCGATTGTTGTTCGTTTGTACCTACGTATCGAGAGTAAAAAAGCTTTCTCATGACTTCATACATTTTTATGTTAGAAGAAAAAACAGTTACATAAAAAAAGCCTTAAATATTTTTACATCATATTAAAACCTCAAATCAAATCAAAATTATTTATTCAGTCAAGGCTGTTACAAGCACTTGTGAAAGTCGAATTTTATCGAAATCGAATCCGTAGTTTTCCTTTTATAACAAAACAAAATACGCTTTTCGCTATATATCACCTAAATATTCAGGTAGACTGGTAAATGGTATGTATTGCATTTCATGTATCTCAGCTAAAAGACAAAAAATTGCGTACCTATTTTGAATTCATTCAAATCCGAAAGGAGGATTATGTGAAAGGAGTATATATAATTTTAGTTATGTCAGTCGATTTCTTCTTAAATTATGAACCAATTTCTTCCCCACGACTTAGCCTACGCCAATTATAGTCTATGTCCAACACGTATTATGTAGCTTCCTGTAGATGAAAGACTTTTATAAATCGGTCCAATAGTTACAGAGCCTATCCAAAGCAAAGAAACAAACAATCAAATCTTTCCTCTTTGTAATGTGAGCATAAAATTTTTGGAAAAATGATGTCGGGCAAATAAACTCTGTTGAATATTTATATTAAATACGAATAGCATTTTCTTGAATAAGTCGCTTTTGAGATAAATATTATTCATCTCATCACTTTTTTAAGTTTGACGTCAGTTCTATTTTTGTTTAAGCTTTTATTTCTTTATTTTATGGTTTTATTTTTTTTTATATTTCCTACCTATATTCTATTACATTTCTATGTCCAATGAGATAATATATATAACTCATTCTTAGTAATCGCAAAAATGTTTCATCACGCGCAAGTAAACCCGTGCGCAAAGTGACTGGCCAGTCAATCACATCCCGAAGCATTCGGGGTCAATAAGCCCGAGTATCTATCTAACCAGTTTCGATCGGTACTTTTGGTACTTGGAGGTCTTCATTATTTAAGCAATTTAATAATAATGCTGCCTGTTTTCTTACTTTTTTACAAGATTTTATTCAACTTGCCTTGTTAGTATGATAGTGCGCAAATCTTGGAACTCAAATATGACCAAATCCCCAATGTACATATCAGTTAACTGATATGATGATGAAATCAGAAGGTGGCCATAGAGACTTAGTGACGAAATGATGCAACTGCATCGAACTTGGACTCGTTAGATCCGTCTTTATGAGGACTGTTAGTAAATTCTCTTAAAAGTCTTGGGCTCTTTAAATACGTCTTTATAAGAACAAAAACATATTAAATTAACAGGTAAAGCACCTTGCAATACAGATGCTATGTCAGAAATTAATAGAATGAGAGAAAATAAAAAGCTTATATAAAAATATGACACAAAAAGTTTTTTAAAACAAGCTTTTATTTATGCGCACTAAAACGTTAATAATAATTTTATGAAAGAAAAGTTTTAAAACGTGAATGCTAAAGTACCTATAATCAAAATTTTCTCTAATAGTAATAGACTTGAAAAGCGTGTAGCGCGTAAAAAAATATATGTATTTTCTTGTCTCGGGATAGTCGTTGATAAAATCAAACGACTATCTCTACCAATATCAGTTTCATGTATGAGAAACTGAAACTAAACATTGTTTTCATCAAAGTTTGGGCTGGGTGGTGATCCACCTCCTAGTGGTCAACCCCAGGCGACGACACTATGTTGTCGGCAGAGAGATCCCTCAATGCGCTGGTAGGCTTCCTACTTCAACCCTCTTGTTGGAAACCGACGCCAAGCATCCTGATGCGTTCCGTCGGAGTGCGGGAGAACCAGTACCAATGGGTGATGCTAAGCGGTCAGTAGCATTGTTCAAGAACGGTATTAAGCCTTTGGTGAAGTCGTACTGGATCAGATCGGTTTGGAGACTAGCGGGATCCGAAACACGGTCTTGCCGTTGACCAACCGCAGTTAGTAGAGCATCCAAGTAGTTCGCTAGCCACGTGCAAAAGGCTACCCCGCCAACTTGCGAAAAATCCCGTGATGCGCCACCGTGCCAGCTGGCGAATCGACAGGAGGACCCGGTGGACATCTTCGGGGGGAATCGGGCGTCCCCGCAGTCTCCATGTCGATTTTCTCATATGTTGGCTGTACTGTGGTGCTCCAGTTGTTCAATGGACTTCACCTCGACTGTTAAACCATCACTTCAATCACACTGTAAAGATGAAAAGTCGAAAGGGAAAAAGGTTAAAACAACGGCTGCACTTCCTCCCAGTAAAAGTGCATCTCTCTAACATCCGAGGGCTGCACTCAAATCTCGATTCGATCCACCACCACCTTGAAACCGAAAAGCCAAACCTTTTCTTCCTAACGGAGACGCAGATAGCAACCCCGTCAGACGTGTCATACCTCAACTACCCAGGTTACACTCTGGAACATAAATTCCGAAAAAGGGCTGGGGTCTGTATGTACGTATGCTATGACGTCTGCTATAAGCGTCTTCGTAGCTTTGAAAAACCTGGTATATCCCTTTAGCTGTTGGTACTGGTGTACTGGTATGATACTGGTGTAGAGAAACAGCTGTACGTCGGTTTATGTCAATCGCACATCGGTGACCAGGAAACAACTAGGCTCATTGAATACCTCACTGAAACGGCAGATGCGGCTATTCAAAGGTACAACGCAGCTGAGCTTCTGTTTCTTGGGGATTTTAACGCCCACCACTGCGAGTTATACCCATTCGAAAAAAAGAGACCACGCTGGACGTGAGACGCGCAAGTTTGCATTGTCGTTAGATCTCACTCAGGTTGTAAATGAAGCAACGCGAGTACCGGACATCGATGGTCATACCCCCAACTACCTAGACCTTCTGC